TCACGAGTATCTACGAGTCTACATGCATGCACTTATATACAGCCCTTGACACGCACGTACACATACATACATACATACATACATACATACATACATACATACATACATACATACATACATACATACATATCATACATACATACATGCATACATGCATAGACTCGTACATGCATACATGCATGCCTGCAGCATACATGCATACATGCATACGTACATACAGCCTCACATATAGACATGCATACATGCATACACAGCACCTGCTATATTAGCGTATACTGATTAGAGTTTGTAATGTGAGATGTTGTAGCATGTCATACTATTGCGGTACAGCACATTACGTTACATTGCATTGCATTGCATTGCATTGCATTGCAGTAATACAGTAGGATAGATTCGACTTGCTTGCATTAGATGCCTTACTGATTTAGATTAAATTAGCTTAGCTTAGGTACTAGATGTTGCTATTTCATTTCATGATGTTACAACTATAATACAAATTACGATCATGTTCGTACTTCTTGTCATGTTATCTCATTTGTAAGCCCTGAGCCCTACACCCTAAACTCCAACCCTGAACTCCTACACTCTAAACCCAAACCCCTAAACCCCTGAACCCACCCTAAATCCAAGAAACCCAAACCCACCCTAAACCCTTTGTTACTTGGAGGGTTGGGGGACTTAGTAACTAGCGATTTTATAGACTTATAAGTATCATAACCCGACTTAGGGTCCCGTTTAGGGTACTTATAAGTCTACTTATTACCTACTTACTTCCTAGACCCCGAAACCCGAAACCCTAACCCTAAACCCTAAACCCTAAACCCTAAACCCACTTACTAAGTCCCCCGACCCTCCACGTAGAGAGTCTCTGGGAGCCATGAGCCAGGCCACAGGCCCTTCTCGGAGATGCCGGCCATGTCAGTCCTAGCCTTTGTTCTTGTTAAAAGGTTTAGGGCTTAGGGCTTTAGGGCTCTAGGGTTTAGGGTTTCAGGGTTTGGGGTTTTAGGGTTTAGGGCTTTGGGTTTAGGGTTTGGGGTTGAGGGTTTAGGGGTTAGGGTTTGATTGGAGTTACCATGACAAAGAAACCAGATTATTCGCTATAGATCCAAATTTTGGTAGCTTAACATGAACCCTTTAACAAGAACCCAGTAGCTTTGTCGATGCTCGCGCGAAGGTTCTCAATCTCCTCGGCGAAGGGTTTAGTGTTTCGGGTTTAGGGTTCGGGGAAGGGTTTAGGGCGAAGGGTTTAGACCCTAAACCCTGAACCCTAAACCCAAGGTTTTTCAAACCCCAAGAGCCCTGAGTCCATATCTGCGGGAATGCTTTCCCACACCATAACCGCAATTCTTAGCATAGAAGCCCTACAGTCTACTAGTAAGTACTTAGGAACCTTTTTGAAAGGGCTCTTCAGCGGCTTTGTTCTATAAGGCTTGAAAAAAGGTAGGGGCTTGCTGAAGTTCTAAGGGGTTTCACAGTATCGGTTTAGGGTTTAGGGTTTAGGGTTTCGGGGTCCTTATAATTAGAACGGGGCTCTGGTGGGGCCGGAATACTATTGGCAATTATGCAGGGAAGCTATATACAGGTGCTGTAGACACGGCTTGTCTAGGAATTTAAGGGTTTGAGGTGTTCGAGTTGTATTGTCTTTTGTGTGTGTGTGTCTGTTTCGAGTTTGCTGTTGTTGGATCTAAGGATTTATGGCCGGCATATTAAGGAGTAAATGAAGGGTTTCGGGTTCACTTTATTCTAGACCATTGAATATTCAAACCGCCAAGGTAAGGAAACCACATATTTTGGGCTCGTGTTAAGGGCTTCAACTTAAGTTACCAGAATAGGGATCTATAGTAAATGACATGTTTCTTTATTATGCTAACTGAAATTAAACCCCTTAACAAGAACGAGGTATTTGTTCTTTAAACAAAGCCACAAACGCAGAAGGACATATTGCAAAGCTGCAGAAGAGCCTTGATGATACCTGCAGGGTCGGGGGATTTAGCAGGTCCCTAAGGGTCCATGTACTCATATAGTATATACATTGTCCCCAAAGTACCTACATAGGGACTACTTTAAGGCCAATGTATATACTATTTGTGCACATGGACCCTTAGGGGGTATAGTTAGTCACTTTGGAGACTTAAAAGTATCATAACCCCAGGTAGGATCGCTTGTAGAGTACGTATAAGCTTAATTACTCAGTGTCCACTTCTCAAGTCCCCCAAACCCTATAGAACCTTCTAGTAGCACCTTATGGTATGCTTTAAAGGAGCTTTTTACATAAGGGAACCCATCTTACCTACCTACTTACTAAGTCCCTTCTCACCGACCTACTTACTAAGTCCCCACCCCAAAGACAAAGAAGGGGGGTGGTGGAGCCCTAAACCCTAAACCCTAAACCCTGAACCCTAAACCCCTAAACCCCTAAACCCTAAACCCTAAACCCTAAACCCTAAACCCTAATCCTTTGTTTCGGGGCCATAGTCGAACCAATAGGCCTAGGCCTAGTACGTACTCAGGCAGGCGTGGATATACGTCGGCCTTTTATGAATCAAGGCCGTTAAGATTCCGGCTCGGAGGGTCGGGGAGGGTCGGCGGACTAGTAAGTAGGTAATAAGTAAACTTATAACTAACCTAAAAGGGACTCTAAGTGGGGTAATGATACTTTATAAGTCTATCAAGTAACTACTTGCTAAGTCCCCCGACCCTTCAAGATCCCTCAAAGATACCCTGATATGTGGAGTGCTGCTTCGCGGCTCCAACGCCCACAGCCGTGCTGAGCTCGAGCTGTGCGTCCTGTCAGGGTGAAAACGACCAGCAGTCTCCCCCAAAGCTCCATGTACCTTTATAGTAGAAACTCAGGCCTTAAACTACCTACATAGGGACCCGTTTAAGGCCTAAGTATCTACTATTAAAGGTACATGGAGCCTTTGGGTCCATTGTGGTTCCTTTGCATTTTGGCTTAACTAAACCCTAGACCCTAAACCCTAAACCCTAAACCCTAAACTATGTACTAAGGATCTTGCGACCCAAATGGATGCTTCTCGGTTCTAAGATCTAGGCTTAGGATTGGGGTTTAGGGCTCGGGGCTTAGGGTTAGAGTTTCGGGTTTAGGGGTTTAGGGCTTAGGGGTTACGGTTTAGGG